TCCCTACAATAGCAAACGAATTTACCATCCTCGTATACATTTGCCTTTGTTAAGTTTTCATGAACTGCGCCAACGGTAGGATCATGGGATGCCAATTGCCTTCGAAGCGAGTTTATTAGATCTTCGTCGAGGAAAGTTGCATTCTTTGCTTCTTCCATGGTTTTTGCAACTAGTTTGTGTTTTGTCCCAGGCTTTTTTAAGGAAACCAGTTGTATGTTCGGCTTTCGACCGACGAAATATTCAGCATGTCTTTCGCTATTACCAAGGGTTCCTGCATTCTTCGAGTTCAACGTGGTTTGATCTTTTTCAATGGCTTTTGGCGCGCCAACTGTCTCCGACTGAAACGACGCCCTGCATCGTTTCATTTTTTGACTTTTCACTTCTGCATCCTCTTCCTCCGCGGTCGTTGGCACCAGGACTAGCAAACTCCTTTTAGCATTGGCTTTCGACTCGGGTTCGCATTCATCGTGAAAGGACGGGGGATCGGAGGAAGCAGCGACGGTCCTGGGAAAAAGAAATTTAGCTTAGACGGTCAGCTGTTAATTCTTAGATTTAGCTAGTGGTTTCACATACATATGTACTTTACACACATATGTACTGCATGTATGCTTTATAGAATTCACTGTTACGTATATACGGTTAGATAGTACACGATACAGTTGGGACGAGGGAGGTGGGCTACCGACAAACGCTAGCGGGAAGGTAAATACTGCGCGTACACGTGCACGCACACACCGATTATGTTAAGGACGTAGAGTATAACGGAAACGAAAGGTGTCGCGATTATAACCATTTGCTCGAATGTCAACAATCTCACGGTTTCGCTGTTTCCTTGTTCCAGGTATTCCCGTTCCCATCGCAGTGCCTCGACCTCCTGCCTCAACAACACGACGAGCGGCGCGTCGAAACGGAAAGTCGACTTAAGGATAACAAGCTACCATCGCGTCGACTAGTTCAGTTTGGCTCGAGCACGTGTAAGGTCTACGCGTAGTATAATTTTGTAGTGTAAAGTGAAACGACCAGTGTTATTCAAGCAAACACGACCGTTCGACGGAGTCAGCTGTTGGTGAGTAATCGCATTTAAAATATTGCTTAACGAGTAGACATATCGCGAAGGCTGTCCGGTATTTTCGGTAACGTTAGGATATTGCCCGATTTATTGCACGATCCATACGTGGCTGTGAATTACGTTCATTCGATGTTTCCTTGCGAATTCGAAATTTTATCTGGGCAAGCGGGTCGGCGAAATGTAATTTAAGCGTCGCTGACGCTAACAGTTGCGCCAGCGTTGCTCTTGGGCGACTAACATACTTTCGCATTTGCGATCCAGCAGACTGACCCGTAATCCGGAATTCGTCCAAGGAGGAGATGGTTTGAAAAATCGAAAGAATGTTCCGATGTACTCGGCGGAAAGCTAGATAAATGGTACAGGATAAGGAGAATTTATGAGGGAGTAGCAAATCCTGCAGTATGGGGTGCTGAAATATATTCTGGGGAGAATTTGTTGAATTATCTTTCGTAAATATGATAGTCGCATTCACAGGAGAATACGTATGGTTCGTTACTATTACAATAGCGAGATTTTCTTCGGGAATAAAATCCGCAGAGTCCCGGGGCTGTTCGTGGTAATTCGAGTTATATAGTAGATCGTTTCACGGGTTTAAGAAGCGAAGTTACCTGTCGGTGCCAAGGCTCTCGACGTCTTCATCGGTTCCAATCTTGATGCTTTTCGGGCACGTGGTCGCGATGAGGGTAAAAAGCAAGGAACACGTAACAATCGGACGGTACATGACGATCATGACGAAAATCACTCGTGATCATGGGAGATCGTTGCGCACGTTTAACTATTTTCCTTAGCCCGATGTGAACTGTACCGAAATCGATGGGCAACTGTACCATTTGCCGTTCGATGCATATATTCGTCAAAGTTGCATACGTGTTTTGATGTTTTCGCGTTGGAAAATTTGTGGTGTCAGATAATTGCGTGTTGCAATGTGTACGGGTAACATGTTGTATACCTTACTTGATGTGGAACATCAATAAATGACGCTTAATGGAAACAAGATTACACACACCCTCTGTGCATGTATATTATATTTGGCAACGCATTTTTGCACAGATAGATTGTGAGCATCGATGCAATTTGCATTTAAATCTAAAAAGGATGATTGATTTCCATATTCACTGAAATCGAATTACACGCATTTTATAACGGCTTTTATTCGGTTAAAAAATACAAAAGTTCTATTAAAATATTATAAAAATTTTACTTGTAGAAAATTGAAGTACATTTTAGAAATTTCCCGGTTTAACGATAAAGGATATTAAATGCTATCTTATTATCCTCGAAGGAGATTCGTGATGCCACTAAATAACATAAAAAGCTTTTTCACGTTCATTATCGCGTTGCAAAAGATGTTTCGAGTTGGACTTATCGATGTAGTCGAAGTATCAGTGAAATTTCTTCCTTCATTCTCTGCCAGCGTCTTGTTATAGTTCTCGTCTATGTTTCCTATTAATTGCACCACCGACTCGCTAAAATTCTCAGCTTTTCCTAAACTGTCGAGCACAACGTTTCCTAACTTTGGTATGTTCCTCTCCAGAAGAGACGATAATCCATCTTCGCCTTTCTCACTTTTCCCTATATTCTCTTTCGTCGTGAATTTTTCACGAGATATCTTTCGAATCAGCGATTCTTCCACGTCGTCCATCTCGCTAAATACCGGAACTTTTGGGCTCGAAGGTTCCTCTAGATGTTGCATGTCCGAGGGCTGCAGCTTGAAAAAGGAAAAAGACATTCGAACTTTAAATGAATTTGTGTTGGAAGTCAGCTACGCCCATGCAACGATGACGACATGTCTGTCGAAGGTTGCAGGGCATTACCGACCTTTGGACTTCAAGGGGTCGGTTTTGAGGGCTTAAAAGGGCCTGGCGTCTTTCAGAACTCCACAGTCTTCAGTTAGAAATCAAAACGGCTATTTATAGATTGTTACCCATAGCGGCATTGAAATTAAAAAAGAAAAAATAGGACTCATACGTTTTAATTATATATCGTATAATAAACCTCTTACAAATGAGAATACTATACAACTGAATACAGTTGTTTCCCTGTGCGTTTGGCTATTTCCCCCACGAAATTCCCAACAATTTGAATAAAGGAAACGAAGCAAGATCATAGCTTCTAGGGTTTAAATTTTACCTCGTTCGCGTTACCATATTCGCCGATTTCCTCTGCATCCCTCCGAAGTCTACTGCTAGATCTTCTTGCCCATGGTAACGTCATCATTGTTTCAGGTTCATTAAAGGGCAATACTTCCAAATTCGCGTTCTTGTTACTTCGTTTGCTCCTTTCACCCTTTTCTTCATCCGTGTTATAAAGTTCTCGCGTGTTGGATACGCTCTCGTCTCTATGATCAGACGAAACGTCGTCCGAGGGTTCCTCGTTTTTCTTCGATTTCGATCCTTCTTCTTCCGCAGAGTTCAACGCGTCCCGGTAGTTTTCGGCTGGTTTTTTATGGGGATCCTTTGCGTGTGGATTCGCTTGGATCGACGAGTATCCGACGGTATCCTCGGAAGCAAAGGAACCAGACGACATCGACGTCGATGGAATTAGAAATTTCGGATTAAACGTCTCGGCACTGTACTCGCTTCTGCTCTTCGAATGATCCTGCTCCTTTAAACTTGCCGGAGTCTCGTCGTACGGTTTAAGAAGTTCGGATGGACTTTGGCTGGAAATCGCTTTTGGACTTTGCTTTAAACGTAAGTAATTGTTCAGTTCTGTTTTCTCGATTATGCTCGGTGGTTTCGGTACGAAGGACGAAGGCGGAGACCCTAGGTATTCCTCTTTCGATTCGGCACTCGTGTCTTCCCGTTTTCGAACGTGCTCCGCTTCTACTTCTTCCGAATCTCCCTTCGGATTAGCATTATTCGTGGTATTTTCTCGAGGAATCAGCGCTTCGGAAATATTATCTTCCTCGGTTTGTGTTTCTTCCTCTGTCGTGGCGTCTCGATAACTTTCCCTTTGTTCCCTGGTCCCTCGTGTATCGGAGGATTCGCTCTTGTCAGGATCTTCCTTGCTTCCAGAAGTTTCCTCGAGTTCTTCGTCTTGACTAACTTCCGGCTCATCTTCTTCCGGCTCTTTCGCTGCCTCGCCAATCGAACGCAATAAATTTTGTTTCTTGTTGCTCGCCACGCTGTGCCCCGTTAATTTCTTCAAAAGTTCCTCGGCGGTATGAGAATCGAGATTGTCGACCAGAATCTTTAACAGCTTGCCGGTGTTTTTCGACAGACCTATGGAATCTTGGCTGAGAACTTTGCCTTCGCGTTTCTGCTGCGACGTTTCGCGAATTTTGTAAGGCCTGTACGAGACGGGCTCCCAAATCGCTTCGTACGTATTCCTCGAAGCGATTTTTCCATTAATTCCCGATCTCGTCGGCCCTCTGTACAATCGCAAATGAGGATCCCCTCCTTTGTACTCGGAAGGATCGATTATGTATATTTCTTTGCCCTCGGGGAGTTCATCTGATTCTTCCTGATCTTCTTCGCTGGAATATTGAGCGGCTTTAAGACTTCCGTGGTAAGGCTTCTGTCGAAGTTGATTGTACGTGTACTCGGTATGGTGGAAAAGTGAGCGTGGCGAAGCTGCCTGTTGAGCGAATTAATTAAATGAAAAGGCGAATAGAAGAGTTTCAATGAAAGAAAACGATAAACAAGTTAGTTACCCGCATATTCCTCCTCGGTTCGTCTCCCGGGCTCTGTTCATAATAGAATATCCGTGGCCTTTCCACGTCTTCCACCAGTGCGAAGTAGGTCCTGTCTCTCCTCTTGTCGTTGGATCTTCTCGACGCCTGATCCTGGTACAAGTTGGTCAATTGTATAATCTTTTCTCTCAACCTGTTAGGATCGGGGTGTTCTATAATCGTCGTATCGCGATGATTCTTTTGAACTTTAGGATTGAAAACTCTCTCCCTGACATTCTTCGCCCTGACGATTTCAGTTATCGGTACTTGCACACTCTCCGTCATCTCGTCGCTCGTATCGACCTCGATTTTCTCGTCAAACCTGGACGGCTTATACATCAGTATGTAAGCTAGCTCCTCCCGATTAAGCATATCTCGGAAATCTTCGCTCTCTTTGATCGCCTCCCATGCTTCTCTCCTTTTCAGATTCCTTTTCTCCGTGTTGGTTTCCTCGTCGACCATGTCGCGAATATTTTTCTCGGATTCCTGCAACAACGTTTCTCTTTTATGTTGTAATTTGTCTTGCAATTTTTTCACCTGTTCCGCCCGATTCTTCCGATATTCCTCCGCCTTGTTCGCTACTTTCAACTTCGACGCGGTCGCCGCTCTGTGCGATTCGCTGTATTTGCGGAGCAGGTCTTTCAACGCTGTCAGAGTTCTTAGTCGTTTCAATATTTCAGGATCCTGAGGTTTAGCAACGTGCATTCGGTTCTTGCTTCGTTTACGAGCGGCCGATGACTGAGCAGACTTCGCGACTTTAGTTTCTACAGGTCTTTTATGGGAAACTTGTTCGACTTTGGTCTCCCGTTTCGAGCTCACTGTTGCAGCGTTATCGTAATTGTTTTCGAATTCTTTCCTGATAGTTCCCGCTGATAAAGTGGCCGTCTTAACTGTCGTGCTTGAACTTTCGGTCCTCGAAGCCTCGGCTTCCTCGGCTTCCTCGGCTTCCTCAGCCTCTCCATTTTCATCTGCAACCCTCTCACTGACGAAGGGTGTAGAATTTTCTCGATTAGTCCAAGTATGCTGCGTACTGCTCGTTATCCCTTTCTCCTCTTCCCTGCCGGATTCGCCACGAAAGAAATTATTTTCAGCGCGTTTAATCGATGTCATCGAGGTTTGGCCCGAGTTTGCGGGTGCTCCTGAATTTAAAGTTGTCGGTAGATTTGTTGGCTGCACCTTGGATTGGTAATCCGATCTACTTTCCAAAGTAGGAATATTGGACTCGAAACGTTTTTCCGCTCTTTTCATTTCCCGTGGATCCTTTCCAAGATCTTCCGAATTCGTCCGAGTTCCCAAAGGCGCTCCCGCAGTCTGTATAATTTTCGGGTTCGAAGATCGAGATTGCAGCTCTAGTTTCTCCGTGGGCGAGTCTTTCAGCTCTGCAAATATTTCTACGTCTGTATCGTCGCGTAAATTCGAACGAACTATATCTTTATTCAGGTCCGCTATCACTTGCTCATTGGGAACGATGCCCGTGTCTGCCCGGGATTCCATGGATTCAATAGCGTCCCTCTTCGATCGACAGTCGCAGCTTTTCGACTGTCGAATAACTCTGCAATTGCAGTCCTTTGAATTCGCATCGTCTTCGTTGATCATTTCTTGATCAAGTATAGCGTGCAGGTCTGTATTCCTTCTTTTAGGTCTTCTACTCTCATGATAATCAGTTCCGATCGAGAAATCCAATCCTTTCAAAGGGGAACTTAGACCATAACCAGAAGCTTTCCAATTATCATAATTTATCCTTTCAGACGGCGGTTGCCTAGATAAGCCAGATCTGGCAACGGATTCGTCAGGCATGAACGTTCTGTACGTAGGTCTATGATTTTTTAGAAAACTACTAGACTCGTAATAACCATCCAATCTTCTCGAGCTACTCTTATCATCCTGGATTTCGGGCTTTGCGTCCGTTCGAATCCCCGCGATCTTAAATTCCTTTTCATTGCCGAATCTATCATTTTTCCGAGATCCATAGGTTTTCGCTTCCCATCGCCTACCAGGGCTTTCCGAATTTAGCTTCATTCGATTATTCAACGATCCCGAATTTCCAACGTATTCTATAGGCTCGTAGAAAGGGTAGTCATTTTCATCGCCAGCCCATACGTTATCAGCGTTAACGTAGTCTATTCCCGAGGGCTGCATTCGAGCGCTTCCATCGAGCCTTGGATCTCTCGGATCCATGTCCTCCGTGTACTCGTAGTCTCTGCTTCGCGGAGGATCCAAGGCAACGAAAAATACGTCGCCTTTTGGAAAATCCTCCGTAGAGTCTACGTTAAACACGTTTCCACCGGTCTCCGTGCTATCCAATTCTACGACTGTCGGTTGCATCTTTTTCCTAATGTTCTCCCACCATTTAATCTTTCGACCGCCTCTACCCCCTTTGACGTTGCCGTTCTCGGATGCTTTTCTCGAAAGACTTTCCCTTTCCAAGTTCAAAGGCTGCCCGATCTCGCCGAGCAGATCTCTCCTGGTCCTTTTCGATTCCTGATTCACCTCGTCCTCTTTAGAGTCGATCGATTCGTTTAACTTCGTATGGACCAAGAGTTCGTAGAGAGTCTTCAGAGTCTCTTTTACGCTGCTAGACGATTTCATTCTGTTCTCGTAATTGCTTTCCTCCTTCACGGTTTCTAGATCAGTCTGTACCTTCAGTACCAATGGTACCACATTAGCGGCGAGTTCGCTGATCGATTTTCTCCACCGAGACTCGCCATTCGACCCCGCTGAATTTGCGAACCGCGTGAGACGACCCTTGAATTCTTGTAATCTATTTTGCAAGTCGTCCCGTGGTCGCGTCGAGTCTTTGGTATTTGCATCTTCCGAGCTGGATAAACCTCGGATGCTCAGCAACGATCTACTCTCGTAATCGTCCAATTGCTTCCTCACGAATTTCTTCATTTTTTTCAGCTCTCTCTCTATCAACCCGAGACTTCTCTGCCTCCTTCTGCTGTCTTTTGCGCTTGCATGATCCTGCGCAGATCGGCGCGCAACGTGTACTTTTACGTCTTCTTCGAGGTTTCGTCGAACTCGTATTCTCGAAGACGTTCTCTCCTTCGACGCACCGTCGCTTTTCATGCAAGAATTTATCTAAAAGAATGGCGAAATCAATTTCTTTCAGGCATGCGTAGGGATCAGAGGATAGAAACGCGTTTTATTACTTTTGCGCCGGGGATAACCCAAAATCCAATGTCACCAGACCGCAGACGAAGATCTAGACCATTCGCGTCGGTCAAAACCTCTGGGTAGATATCGGGAATCGTGTCGTTGATCAAAGTCAACAATTTATCGTTGAAGAAAGCAGTCCTAGGAATAAAAGGGATCTCGAAACGTGCCTCGTTTTCGCAGAATGACGATACTTACTCGGCAAACATTCTGTTGGGGGCATCGAAACCAGGCGAGAGAATATACTCGTGAGCCGTGGTGATGTTGGGTGTTTTCAAATTAATCGTCGCATCTTCGGGGCTCAAGTTCATCCCAAATATCACGATCGATCCCTTCTCGTGTCTGCTCGAAGCCTTCGCGCAATGGCAATAAAGGTAGACGTGCTTCTCGTTGCTAATTTCGCTCCTTGAGTCGAATACTTCTCGCCCAACGAGAGTTTTGTGCAACAGAGACACCCAGTAATCCTGCGCATGAAATAACGTATCCATCCTCGTCGGTTTTCAGCCAGCAAGTTCGTAATTTCCTCGAGCAACTTACCGGAGTTGGCCAAGCTAGATTCGTTGGCTGCCTCATGACTACTTTTACGTTTGCCCTCGCCGCGTTCCCTAGTCTCCTCGTCAGAACAAGTGCCCCGATGAACAAATTCTTGCACTCTTCTGGCCTAGACTCGGCTTCGATCGAAACGAGAATAATTAACGATTCTATAAACGATCTACAACGATTCTGCAACTGTTCGTCCAAAGTTTCTTACCGATCCATAGCGGTTGGTCCCCTACGAATCGACCTATGACTTTCACCAATTCTTCTTTATCCTCTTGCAAATTATCACGGTGAATGAAAGCTCCTCCATCGTCCAAGGTAACGCTGGCAAAGTTGCTGGAATGATTTTCGAACGGTATCACCTACTTTCTATTTTTACGCGGAACGATTTATACCGCTCTTTAACAAATTTATAACGATAAGAAATTTACGGATGCCACGTGATCGCTGAAAGCGCAGGCGCAGCGGTAGCGAAGTAATCTCGAAGGTACTTTCGTTGCTTCTCGCTGTTATAAATTAAGACATCGGGCCCGGTAATGATGCTGCTCGAGTATCTAGGAAATTCGTTCAATACTTTTCGCAGATGCAGCGTTTGCTTCGCTAAATCACCGGCTGATAGATTGCATTTAGTTTGGCACTCTAGAAAATTAAGCTTAAAGTAGATCTCCCCGTTCCGACAGTTGCGCAAATATTTCGAGGGTCGAATTAATTTACCATATCCCAGCTGCCAATTCGCGTTAAAGCCCATGTGATCGCTGAAAGAAATTATCTCCGTCGCATCTTCAGACTGCTCAAACTTCCTTTGTCGATTGTCTGGCGAGATGCAAGCTATCACATCCAACCCTGCCTTTTCTGCCCATTGATGGGTCAGGACCCAATCGGACTCTACGATCAGGAAACGTCATTGATAGAACATAATGCTAGCTGGCAACGCGACGAGAGCCTAGCTTCGCAGGTTCCTAGGCAATCCCTGCATTTCTCGGTTACGACCGTCCCTTCGAGTAACCTGGTCCGGTCGTTTCGCGAAAGACTGGACAGAGCAACGGGCATGCAAACGGATTCGACGTGGGGCAGAAAGCAGGGAGGAATTTGGTAACGCGAGTATCGGATTACGTCGTACGGAAAACGCGCCGAATGTTAAATTACTAAGCTCGTTAGGAGCATAGCGTTTGCACCTTGGACCAGACGTGTAAGGTTTGTACGTAATCAGCGGGAGTAGCTGAAGTAACGCGAGGTACATCCGCGAACGAAATAGGTGTCTACAGCCAGCTCTCGAGATAGAACGTTGATGGCGAGTGTGTATAGCTATGGTACATAAACCTTCTCGTTTCTCTTCGCGAGACACCTCGTGTCTGCATCGTGTATGGACGTGCACTGGTGCATGAAGCATTGTTTAGGTTAATTCAGGCAGTTTCTGCAACTGGCTGACCACGGTGCTGCATCGGCTGCGAAATTGGCCGAGGAAGATGTGTGGTAGGCGTTTCGCCGTTAATGCAACTTTGGAGTGAACGGATGCATGTAGATCCTTTGTAGGCCGCCATCCGTTGCATTACTGCCTAAATTAACCGTGATAATGGCCTAGAGATCGACTGTGTCGCGGTCAAGTTGGCAGAATATATCGAAGGTGGATCTACCAGCAACGGGCCAACAGGGTCACGTAATTTATGCGTCCCGTTCCTCGATTAAAATAACGCGTTTCGAATTAAAAGAGAGGATTGTCGAGCTCACCGGACAGCAAGCTTTCCCTCTTCTCTTCGGTGCCCCGAGAATCCTGATCGGTCAAGTAGCCAGGGGTAGTCCGTGGTCCTCCGAGTCGTATATACGCGGGAGCCATGGCTTTCGCCAGGTTTACGCTTCTCTCGAAATCCTTGCTGAAATGCCAACAACCACGATTCGTTACGTTAAACCCGCAATTATGCCACGCGATTCGGCGTGTCTCTGCGAGATTCTAAGAGATTTTTACGCAGATTCCGTGTCATTTCGATTGATTTCTCTCGACGATCGATAGCAGTAGCCGCGGCGAGAGGAGGCGTTAGGGGTCGGAAATTTAAATTAAAACACGTACACGTTTCATTTCGCTGAAGCTAGATTGGATCGCGTTTCGTTCAAAGGTTATACGCGTCGAGTCATTCCGAGGATATTTTTTCCTTCTTTTTTCTATCAGCCATCGAAGCCTTGCATTCTATTGATTGCTTTTAAATTGACCTCAAATTGCTTCACAGTGCTTCCCTTTCTTGGCGATCCCGTCGTTGTTGTACGGGAATCATCGAGCGGGAAAAGCGTCCCTCGACCGGGATGGCCGGGATTCGTATTCGACGCAGCTTTTCCAAAATCTTCGAAACTCAGTCACGAAGGGGGATAACCGTATTTATCGCGAAACGAGATTGGCCAGCGGGGAAAGCTGATACGAGTATGTTAGATATTCACCGTACGTACCTGAGCGCATTTCCGGCCAATAGGGTTACCGGATCAATGGTAAGACTGAGAAACTTCTCATCGGTCACCGCGATCGGCTTCTTCAGGTTCACGTTCAACGTTATCCGTTCGGCGAAAGAACGAGTCGCGAGGCCATGTAGGACGAATAAAAAGAAAAGGCTGTGCTCGTAACGCTTCATTCTGTCGATCGATTCACTTGTTCTCGAATCGACGCGAGAAACTTTCCATTTCGCAGCGGGTGAAATATCGAAAGTCCTGTTCCGCGGAACGTTTTTATTCGTACTGAAGAACGATTGTTTGAAAAATAAGCGACGCGACGTCGAGTCGATTGACAAGTAGCACGAGGCATTGCAGCCGTTTCGAAATCGCCACGGGTTGTGAAAAAATCGAGGGTAGCGCGAATTGCACGCACAGCGGAATGCATCGGTTAGATTATCGAAATTCCAACGCGTCATCGCGTAAATTTGCAGTTTAAGGTACAGTGGAGGATGACGACGATGATGTCGATGGAGGGAGAGTGATAAATAAACAGACTATCCAGTTGGTAACACGATTGACTTTTATTACATTTTTTTCATTTTTTTTAGAACTAAATAACATAAACGCATATTCTGGTTAATTCACTTTTGTTTATTACTCGTAATATTACTATCGTATTAAGAGCTATAACGTTGAGGCGCGCCCCTAAAAATCGTCTTCATGCTTTATCATATTTTTTTTTTCTTTTTTTTCATTTTTTGTTTTCGTTAACCCTTGTTTTTTCTCTCGCATTTTGTGTTCCATCTCTCCCGCCGTGAAAGCCAAAAGAAACGCCGTGAATCTCTCGTACAACGTAGGAAGAGGAAAGCTCGATTATCCTTCTCTTTTTATTCTTTTTGATTTTATCCCCGCTTCGTTATAGTTTCGATCCAGCTTTAGACTCTGATTCGTGACTATTGCCTCCTGCTTGATGCTTGAAATTTTCCCCCCTCCCAGATCGAGGGAAGATCGGCAGGAAACGCGACCTGGAGAAGCCTCGACTCGCGTTTCCTGTCTTCTCTTCGCTCCTTCTCTTCTTCTCTTCCCTTTCCCTTCTTTCATTTCCTCGTTTTATCGTCTCAAGAGTCAAGAGGAGGGACGAATAGAGAAAGTAGGACTATATGCATTTTTTACGCGTAACCAAGAGCCGAGACCATGCTCAGGGGTGGGTTTGACGGGGGATGCTCACGGGTACAGCTACGAAATCGTGTGTCTTGTCGTGTCGTATCGTGTCGTGTCGCGTGTGTGTGTGTGTCTGTGATCCGTATTCGCACCTGCATTAACCTTTTATTTCGCACGGGCAAACGTTTTAGCTATTCTAATTTCGCGTACTCACGCATCGATCGTCTTCGGGTGTTTCCGGTGTACCTCGACTTCCGCCGAAGATATCTCGATCGGCAACTAAAAAGTTGGATCGTTACTCAGGGCGAATGAAATGCCGACGTTTGTCTCGAAATGGTAGAAAAATGATTTAGAAACGAGCCTCTTGTCGTCCGATTCGCGAAATAAAGGGTTAACCTTCACGTGCATACGTGTGTGTACGTGTGCGTGTGCGCGTGTACCGGTGTCTATGTTCGTGTGAATTAGTGGTCGCTTAATATCTAGGTTACTTTATTTTTATATCAATGTTTATGTGTATATATATATTATACATAATCTAACAACAATATATAATATTATCATCATCGATCCATCCGGCGTTACTTGTTTTCCTCTTCAAATGTTACATAATATTTTATGCTCAACAATCGACTCATACGTGTTCCAGTGATTCAGCCACTATACACACTACACAACTCATACAAGAGATCTTTTTCACTATTCCCCTCTCCGGCGTCGTTTTACGTTTTCCACGAATTTTTCTTTC